TGAAGTTAGGCCCACCACTGGCTTAAGGAATGTCTTTAAAAATTCGCGAACACTTAAAATCAGTAGTTGGGATAGTGCTGAATCTGATCCAATTTTGAAAATGTCAATGATTTCAATGTTACATGACGAATCTTCTTGTAGCAAATAGTGAAGTTATGGATACTTTGTTGAGCAGGAGTCTAGTTTGAGTAGGTTCACTATTTTCTTCGAAGATTTACTTTGATGAGCACATAAACCGAAATTACAACAGGTTGAAATTGAGTAATTAAATGATTGAGTCGAGGAATAACGGGAGATTGATTTGCAACGAAACGAAGCTGAGGAATTGAGCCAAGGAGCGGCAGTAACGATTGATTGGTTTACGCGAACGAACGAACGAACAATTAATAACGAATGAATATGAAAAGCTGTCAATGAAAATGCTGTGGTTTTATAGGAAATTTAGCGGACGGGTAAATGGCATGACGTGTAGACTTTACAACACAACATTTTCACGAAGAACAAAAAGGGATTAAGAAACAGATTGAAGCATATTCATGGATGCTTAAATTGATACAAAAATTCCAATACAGAGATAACATTAAGCGATAACATAACTCATCATGAATTCTACGATATATTTGAATATTTGGTCAAGAAAAGATAGCTTATTCGTACAATAATAATAAGAAGAAACGAATGATCATCTTTATCGTGAATCATTTGATGGCGAATGACGTGATTCGCGACACTCCTATTGGAAAACGTTGACTGCTCTCGAACTGACCACGAATGCTCTGCAATTCACCATATGCTCTCCACGTATGAGTAATCTTTACAATAACACTACCACATGCTGAACGTAAGATTGAATGCGGGCCACCATATGTTCTCCACATTTTTCCAGCGTCCGTTTTTTGTCCCATAAACGGCTCTCGCATATGGTGTCCTCTTTGGATCTTTTGGGAAGTCACCCAGAGCCCATATCAAGACAGTTGTTTCCTTTCTTTGCTTATTGTATAGTCGAATTACCACCTCACACTGCTAGCTCGGCGGGTGACCGTACAACAGATCCAACGACATTTAAAATGGAATCAACAAATCAAGATTACATTTTGTAAGCGAGATATGTTATCAGATCCATCATGCAAGCAAACAATTATAATTGTTGTCGCTACAACTAAAAGCCATGTGAAAAAAGTAGCGCATTATCGCGCTACCGAAAAAAGTAGCTCTGCTAGTAGCGGAATAGCGCGCTATTGCGAACCACTAGCTTTGATAGATCAAGAGTATTGCTCAATTAGGCTATAGGTATCTGGTTTGTGACTAATGTAAATATTACGCTGTGGTGGATGTGTTATGAGATTCTGGATTGAAAATTTTTGTTCTCATACTGAGATACTTATTGTCAGTTATGTTGTTGTTTTTAATAGTCTTCCAAGATTGCATTTGTGGAAATAGCAAGTTCTTGTAGCGAGTGAGGGGATAGTGATGGCTTGCCTGACCATCGAAGGAGCTAATGGAGCTTCCGAACTTGAGAATCACTGCTCTAAAGCAGTGGTCCTCAACATTTTTTCGCCCGAACCCCTGAAGAATTTTAAAACGCCCTTGTAACCTTCACAACAACGGTTAATTTAGGAATAAAAGTGAACACGACCGAAAGAATTTTTGAATTAATTTTACAGACACTGTAATTAAGATAATTAATGTAGGATAAAAATTATCATTTGGAAAAGAGAAATATATCGAGAAGTAATGGTTGCATAAACTCGTAATAAGTTTTCATCCACGCATGAAATGTTTTCAAAAATATAACGTTGTAGTCCACTCTCTCCTACTTTACACACAGGTATGAGTTTCCACCCTCTCCTACCTTACACATATTTATATATTTACTTTATTTATTTGTTTATTATTTGCTTATTTATTTATTTATTTCCTTATTTGTTTATTCATTCATAAAATCAAAAAAAANAAAAAAAACGAGAGGTGCAAGTGTATTGCTGGTACGAAGAGGATGTCATACACTGAAATTAAGCTTGGTACAGGGATGCGAAGAGCAAAAGTGGTTTATTTCCTTTACCGCGAGAACCGGATGAGAAAAGACTTCTCTCCGTAACCATCGCCTTCCCGTGGTTACTAATCGGTGCTGGTTTAAGTTTACAGGGATGTAAAAATAGAATCTGTTTTATCGCTTTCCATTCCTTGTGGATGTCGTGATGGCGTAATCGATTTTTGCTAGTTTGCTTGAGGAATCCGACTCCGCTGAGAACATACAGGAAGGGCATGGGGACAGGGAAAGCGAACATTAATTCTCCACGCCACTTGAAGATGAGGACTGAAAAATCCGTTCTCGTGCCAACCACAACTGAAGATGTGATCGTGGATTACTGATCTCAAACCGTCAGCATGAAAGTTGAGATTCACTGGGGAGCCTTTGCTTGACTTAGCCAAAAATACAAGGACTGGATTCGCAAACAATTATACCAAGTTCGAATTTGTGTGATTACTATTCCACAGATGCACAACAATCTCATCTTTGCTCATTAATACGATGTGAATGAATCTGTTCAGATAACAATCAATCAGTTTTACTGAAACGTTCAATGCACAGGTATGTTTGAAGAAAATATTACTGAATTGAGCATGTCCATGATATTCCACAGAAAGAGAATCTTTCAACTGTATTCAAATCAAACATCCGTGAATCGTGCCACAAGATTTTTCTCGACAAACGAAATAATTGCACACTCGTCATCATCGCCAAAACAGTTCGTTGTGAATAACGTTATCAGAAATGCGGTTGGTACCAGCCCAACGATAACAAGTATCGTAACTAATATTATGACGCATGAACCACATCCCGACAACCCTGAACTATGTCCTGAAAGTATATCATCCTGTACTCTTCATTAACATATATATTGCCATTTATCATTGCATCAAAGCGTTCGTCGAGGAATGCCCTCCTCCCCCCCCCCCCCCCCCCCCACCCCCGTCGGAATATCTGACGTAGAGCAAGTGCCGGACAACTTTGCTCCTCGTCTTCTTGGTCGGAGAACTCCCTGGACGAATTCCTTCTCGCGGGGATTCCTCAACATCTACGAATCTTTGTACAGAACGCTTTTGTTTGGCGAAAATTTTGAATATTTTGTTCGTGAGGCGGAAATGGCATCTTCTTCGGTGACCTTCAAAGCTCTTAGAGCCGCAGCAGCACACTTCGGTATATTACAGGTTGTATTACGCAGGCGTATTAAGGCCGCTCGCATCAAACTGCAGTTTACATTTAGACGTAGGCTCACGCTTACGTGCTTGAGCTTAGACGCACACTTGGAGATTACAAGAGAGAAATACACATCCGTATTACTGCTACATCCGTTTTATTGTACCGAGGTGAGTTGATGCGCACAGCAATTACTGACGAAATGTATTTACATCAACTGTACGTGCGTTGTCAAACCTCGCTTCACTTAGACTAGTCATTATCTGGAAGAAGACATTGACTCTTCTCCTTTTTATGATGCATCTCCTACATCAGCCATCGACGAATTGATAGCGGAAGTTAGCGGAAGATAGCGGAAGTAATCCGCTATTGAAGACGATAACTTTGTTATCATTACCGCTATTCCGCTATCCAGTCGAACTTCCGCTATTGCTGTTCTGCTAATGGCGGAATTGCGGAATAGCGCACTATTGCCCAACACTGCAGAAATGCAATCGACTAATTGTACTGTACCAGCAACGGCCTAGTGCAAAAGAGACCTTGTGAGGGCTATTTATATTCACGGGATCAAATTTTGTGCTAAGGGAATGGATTTGTGAGGGCTTTGAATTCCAATTGACGATCCAAGACGAGGAGGCTATATTTGCAGATATTACGGAAGTAAACCAAAAATTTGCCGAGTCGAAAGCTTGGAATGACCCGGCCAGCTTTGGTCCGACCTATTTGAGCGTTTCCGTATACCCCATTTCTATTAAAAGCCTTCGGAAGTGTATTTTTACTGAATCACGATTTCGTTCCATAAGTGCAAATTCCTTCAACTCCTTCCCGACTGGGATTGCCCAACGCCGTTATTCTCCGACGAGGTCCCCCTTAACTGACATTTTTGCTTACTGACTGCTTTGTCGGGGTCTCCCCTCCCCCGAACGAATTCCTCTTCGCGATGATTCTCCCCGACCAATTTGCTTCGTGACTTTTTGTCGGAGTTCTACTCCGGGCCGCTTCGTTGCCTGATGAAGTCTCCCCACCCCTCCTCTCCTCGAGCAGAAAGTTGCTTCTTGAAGAACACTAATGTAAAATGTGCTTGTTCAATGCTTTCTTGTGACCAAACATAAATCATTTCACTAACGTTTCTCTTTTTCTTTGGTTTTAGTCGATTTATCTTTATCTTTACTTTTTCGTTTTGCTTTCGATTTTGATTCATTATCGTCTGTGGTGCCCTCATCGGGTTTCTTCTCACTTTTTGTCCCTTCATTTGCAGCAGGCGGAGGGGGTGGGGGTTGGAAATATGGAGACATGGGTGCAGGGGGTGGTGGTGCGGGGGCGGGTGGGGGTGCAGGGGGAGGTGGTGCAAGGTCAGGCGGTGGCGGGGCCGGTGACTCTGAAATTAGTTCACTTAACGAGTATATCAGCAGAGATGAAATTGAAATTGCCGAATGCAATTCTTGAATATAATGACATCCCTGAATGTCACATACGCATCTGAAAAGCAAATTATACGTTCCAAAGGTCAGTCATCGCGATCCATCTGCAATTTTAATTGAACGATAGTTTTGGAAAGGATTATCGTGAGAATGATAACACTTGTGTTTTTTTCATCTAGTAACTCCAATGATTTTAGCTTCTCAGAACAATTCATTTCAATTTTGCCATTTTCAAGGCAGTTGTGACTAGTGATATCCAAATTTTAAAAACTCTCTTCTCGAACTCCAGCTCGAACCCCCTAATACTGGTCTTGGGCTCACCATTTTAACTTTTGGCTCTAACTCCACATATTTGAAATTTTGCAACTAGCTCTAGCCCCAATTGCAGCTCTGGGGCCAGCTTTTTGGTTTTGACTCCAACTTCAGCTTCAACGTTTAGTCTCTTTCTTACTGGAATCGACTGTGAGGAGATAGTCACTAGTTGTGGATGTATATCGGTCAATACATTTGAAACGAACAAATTCTCGTTTGCTGCTTTTGAATGAAAGGAAAAACAAGACCGAAAAATAATCCAACAAGTGCAAATTAAACAAGGGATCGACGAACTCAGAAAGATCAAATATATTCCACGAACAGATGATGAATATTCGATTAAATGGAAAATCTAAAAGAGTCGAACACAAGTTTTGCATTCACATAAACAGATGAATTCTTATGATTGCATGATGAATTTATGCATACGAATGTACAGCTGAAAGCTCGTAATCAGTTAAATACTGTAATAATTCCTTCAAAATAGGGTCAGGAAGGAAAAAAAAANAAAAAAAAACTGAACAGATCTTATTTCGGTTACTGAATGTTGCTGTGATGTTTTCTTTCGAAGAAGCTAAGAAATTTTTTTTCTGCTTCTGGATTCTGACATCACCGGTTATGAATTACTTTGTTGAGGAGATTATAGGTTCTCATCGAGCGTAGTGCAGAAACGAAGGAATGACCGCGACGTTATTTTATTTGACGAAACTCAATCACATGACTACTCGTAAAAATGAAGGAACAATTTTGATGGAGGATAGGGATTGAGCTTGAACGAACGAGCTGTTGGTGCGTAGCTAGAATCGAGACACTGCTCCTATAGCTTGGGTTTACCGATATTCATACACTCGTTGCAGCTTCGACGGTTATGCTTATGAACGAGTATGTGATTGCTTTGACAATTGTTGCCGTTTCGATGATCATTAATCATACTGCGCAGTGGTTTGGAAAATTACATGATGACATTTTAAGCTGGGCATGTTATCGAGGGACGAGTTTGCAAGTTTTAGTCGTAGAGTTCACGATGCACTTGTCGAGAAACTCCCATCGCTGAGCCAAACTCTCATGTTTCAACTCCATACCACTGAATGAACTTTTACATTTCAAACCATAAAACTAACCTTCACCCGGAGTTGGTCCAATCGCTTCATATTCATCACCCATATTGATTATTTATCATTAATTATCTATCAATATTAAGCAACAACCGCCCAGAGATTCGTAATATCGAAACAATGCTAATTAATTACTAGACTGGAAGGAATGAGAAAAAAAACAAAATGTGAATTACACTGGACAATTAGTTTTTAAGATGCTAAATTTTTCGAGCAACTATGTTTCAGTTTCATTCTTGCGGAGGATATGAATGTCCATTATCATATAATACAATCTGAATGGCACAATTTCGACGTGAATTATTTTTGCAGAAAACGATGGGGACCAAATAATTTTGATTGGATCTCAATTCCAAGCCTTTTTTATATTGTGAATTCCTTTTTTATATTCTGAACAAGTCCGTTCAGTTAAGTTCATCATGGCTATCGCCTGTAGCTGCGACGGAGGAACACCAAAACAACAGAATTTTACCAAACAATTTTAATTCTTAACTAGCACGGTTTGAAGAATATATTCATATAGAGGTCAGCATGATCTTACCTATCCGAACCTAAATTATATAGAACGTAAGCCTCAAATCTGGATGTGAGCAAATGTGATGATTTGGGGTGTTGAAACTCACGTCGAAACTGATTCTTTCTTCGTATTGGTGAGTCCGACCGACATTCGCTCTGAAAAATCAGACAAATTTTGGTCACGATTCCGACATTCGAATTTTAGAAGAACAATTTTGAAGTTCGGTTGGAATTCCGAATGTCGACATCTTGAAATGTGACCTCGGTCGGATTCCGAGCGAACTGAAATTTCGTTCGCATGCCATCACTACTTCCTGTTACTTTCACAGCGTTCGAAACCAACGCAATCAGTGAGTTTCCGGGATGCATTGATTGATTGCACTGTTCTTTAAGCGTTCGCCGACCATGCAGCTGCCTAATCTTGGCGCTCTAGTTAATTTCATGACCACTTGTAAAAAATTCATGCTGAACTCGTGTGTTAAACAAGTAAAAGCATACATGCATTAAGACTTTATAGTTGCAAGATTGAAGGCATTTGAAAAACATTCGGAGAATAGATTTCCCGCTCGCGCGAAAACTCCGTTAACAAAAATTATTTGGTGAAACTGTGGAATTATTTAAGGATTTGGTGGGGGTTTTTTTTTGTTTGCAGAAGGAATCAGGCGTGACATTTAGTCTTATGTGTACAGTTGAGCAAACTGAAGACTCAGTGAGTTAATAAATTTCTTCAACAGGCTCTATAAGTAACAGAGCCTGTTGAAGGACATCATTGAATGTTATTGTTAGATGAGAAAATTTCTGTTATGTGAACTGATTATTTATAATGAGTGGATATAGTTTAAAACGTGAACTATATAAGCTGCTCATAAAGGATCCAGATCAAAGATTTATGTTATTGGGTTCTGCATTAACTCTGCTCTGCTCTATGCAAGCATTATGTTCCGTTCAATCCTATGCTCGTGTATATCTAACAAAGGCGCATTTGATGCATTCTTAATTTCCTATAATTGCAGATCTTTCACCTGTAAAGTGTTCTTCGTCAGTGATCCGTTCTCTTGAATAACAGCTCCTAATTCAATATGACCAGCTTTGATAATCCTGGGTTGTTTTATCAGGTAAGGTTTAGAAAAAAAAGAACCGTGGAGTTCACTTATCGTATTTGTACTCAAATGGTTTTTATATGCTTCGTTTATGCAGTTATTACTGATTCAGTCAATAACGCCATTCATTTTTGGTTAGGGTTGAGCTGGAGACAAAATCAGTCTCGTGGACCCTCGACCTAGCCGTATTTTTGACTATTATAAGTTTGACATGTTAGTCATCGGATTCATCCGTTCAGCTCTGACAAAGTACTTTGAAGGAAAGGCATTTTGCGAACGATGACGTTCCGGATGAGGGTCGTGAGATTATTGCAGAATACAAAAATACCACTGAACAGTTCCGCCGTTTCATTCGAGAATATACTACTGGTGGTTTTGGAATGATATACAGGTAGGTATATACTTATCGTATCCAATTATTCCACTTTCCACCATACGATTTGAGGAAATGACGATCATTGAATAGGCTGGATGAAAAAAATCATGCATAGTATTCATCTTTGATTTTTGATTTGGAAGTGATGAATGTCGGTGATATTTTGAAGCAGCTATCGATTCGAGGAAAGTTTCATTAGGATAATGTTTTGTACGGAGTGTTATTTACTCACTTTAAGATTCAAAATTGTATTAAAATGTCATTTGTCATGATGTGTTGATGACCGATGTTCTTACGCTAATGGATGTTTTCATTATATTCTCCAAAACATCATTTGAAAGAATTGCAGAGAACAACTGAAGAAGAATTATAATCTTGGAGAATATCGATTGGAAATTTCCTTGAATGATTTGAAAAATTTCGATGAAGAAGCTGCTATTAAACTCAGGAAGTATCCGTCACGGTTCATGCCTGCGGTAAGTATGAATATGAATATAAAAGTCGACATCTTCATGAATTCACTCGCCATCTATGACATATTTGAAGTGGGAAAATATTTTCAAGTTCAAGTTTTTATTTGAGTGATTGTGATCATATGATAAATAGAAGTTATTTGCAGTTAGAAGAAGCAGCAAAGATAGTGGCTGATGAGATTACTCAGCCGAGACCAGAGGATGAAGAAGAAGTCCACGACATTCAAGTAACGTTGACTCTTGACGAATATCCGAGTAGCATTCGAAGACTCAAGGTATCTACAATCTGCCCAAGTTTCATTTTGTTCAGTAATTGCTACTATTTTAACTGAACCATTCAATCACTGCTTCATGTATCCTTCATTTTATTTTCAATTTTTTTACGCAGTCTATAATATTTCGATTAGCTCCCATTTTCATTAACTTTTCGGTGGAACTGTCAACAAGTGAACTGTTTTTTCGATGAATACAATCAAAATGATTGCATGAATTGCGGATTACAATGTGTTGATTCGATAGAAATGAGAGATCGCATGCAAGATTGAAGGTTTCGGTATCGGCCAGTTCGAAATGCATTACTGCTCGATGTGATACGTGATTGAAATGATAAATTGAAGCATTCTTTCACTATATCATAGAAATGAATACCGACTGAATCAGTTAACAAATGTATGTAATTAATGCACATTTCAGAGTGAGCAAGTGTCACAAATTGTCAAAATCTCAGGTATCGTAGTGGCAGCATCTCAGGTACGTGCCAAAGCCACTCGAGTCTCACTTCAATGTCGTACGTGTCGTCATGCTATTAACAATATCGAATTGAAACCGGGCCTTGAGGGATTCTCACTGCCTAGAAAATGTGCTGCTAATCAATCCACACAACTGCAACGATGTCCATTAGATCCATATTTCATCATACCTGATAAGTGTCGTTGTGTCGATTATCAAATGCTGAAATTACAAGAGAATCCCGAAGATGTGCCTCATGGTGAAATGCCGCGTCATATGCAACTCTACTGTGATCGGTAAAATGTTCATCTCATGTAATTCTAATTTTTGCATTTCATTTCAACTACTGCTATTGATGAGAGTGAATGAACAAACGAGGGAATAGTTCTTCAAGCATTTGTTTCTCGTTGCGATCTCAGCTGTTTATCACTCAGGTATTTAACCGATCGAGTTGCACCAGGTAATCGTATCACTCTTATTGGCGTGTTTTCAATCAAAACAGCACAAAAACAGGTTCGATTCATTATGCGATTATTAAATGTTTAAATTTTGCAATTGTGATCCATCGTGTCTGATAATACTTCCCGCTGTTCGTGCAGTTCGATAACCTGTTTGATTTATGATGTGGGTTAGGGCTTTGTTATCTGAAGAAAAATGAAAATATGAACAGATTTGTTAACCACTAATTTAAAGTGGATGTGTCGCATAGTGTCTTATACCATTGTTTTGTCAATTAATCACTTGAAATAGATCAGTTATTCATTAATATTATGTTCTAGTGGCTGTTCGTTTGGTTTTTGTTCTTTGATGCTTTCAAAAAAATTCGTCAAATGAAAGACATAATTTCTTCCATCTCAGTCGACACTAAAACAAAAATTGTTATTTAAGAAAGTCACAGATAAATCGCTGCTAGGCATCCGTGCGCCGTATATTCGTGTTTTGGGTATTCAAGTAGGGATGAGTGGACCGGGTCATGCCGATCAGCTCTCGTTTACACCTGAAGAAGAACGGAAATTCAGGTGATTATTTCAAATCAGTCAACGCAAAAGACGTTCAAGTCTAACATTATCGCTAACAGATGATATACTCCGAGTTATGGTGTTTGAGTATTATCTGTGGTGTATCGTTGAAATCACGATTGCACAGTTATGCTCAGTAGGATCTAATTAACTTCATTGTTGAGACTGGTGCAGCAGCATGATTTTCAAGCGTAATATCTTCATTTAAATAAATTCGGGATGAACTCTCAACGTTTTAATCCCATTAATAATTATATATAAATTATTGTCAAATTGCACTTACTTCGCAATGCATGCAGCGTCTTATTCAATGCATACATTAATTGATATTCAATCGTGACGCTTCAATTTTTCGTAATGCGGAATAATCGTTAGTATTTTTATTCATTGATGGTTGTGTAATCGTTCATTTTGCAGAGAATTATCGAAGAAGCCTGATGCCTATCAAATAATCGCAAACAGTATAGCACCTTCTATATATGGATCTGAAGATATTAAGAAAGCAATCGCTTGTCTTTTATTTAGTGGTTCACGAAAGAGGTTCACTCTTTCGTTTCATATTATGGACGCTACTCGCTGTTTTTATCACCCTTTATGGGTTACTCATTTTCTAGCAGGAACACATTAATGTCTTGATCGCTTGAAGTCCCTTTTCTTCTCTCATTTGCTACTTCGTAGTGTTTCAGTTAAATGAATGTCAGGCTACTGCATAGATTAGTTGTATTTTTTATATTGCTTAAATGATGGAATGTCATGTTCTCATTGGTATTCACAAAACTGCACTTATTTTTCTTCAATAATAACTGAAAATGCCTCAGATTGCCGGATGGTTTAACTCGTCGTGGTGATATCAATGTACTTCTCCTTGGAGATCCGGGAACGGCAAAAAGTCAGCTGTTGAAGTTCGTTGAAAAGGTGATGCTTTCAACTGAATAATTTCATCTGTCATGAGTTTATTGTGATTGCATTATACTTTTCTCAAGGAGTCGATCCCATGATTTTTTAAAACTTTGATTACGTTTCCGAGATTCTAATGAATTCGTTGTACGGCACCTAACTGAACAAAAACGAATATCTTTGCATTACTTTTTGATTAACGGTCAATGGTTGTTGCCAACAAATTTGAATCTCTAGCAATCAGTGATAATAATTTTTCAGGTTGCTCCAATTGGCGTGTATACGTCAGGTAAAGGTAGTAGTGCAGCTGGTCTAACAGCTTCGGTTATTCGTGACCCACAATCAGTAAGTTGTTTATTAAGGAGAATGCATAGTTTCGTGATTAGGTTTGATTCTGGCATTGATATTGTATTGCAGCATTACGGAAATACTGTTACAGAGATCGTTTATAATGGAAGGAGGTGCAATGGTGTTAGCTGATGGTGGGATTGTTTGTATTGATGAGTTTGATAAAATGCGTGAGGATGATCGTGTCGCTATTCATGAGGCCATGGAACAACAAACTATCAGTATTGCTAAGGTTGGCATTGTCTTACTTTTATTTGCTTTGCTATTACACTGAGGTATTATTGTTATCATCTGATCACCACCAATTCAATTCATTGATCGTCTAACTCCAACGACTTACTTGCGAAATGTCTTGTTTGGCACTGATTATGCCATCAAGATGTACATTTGCTTACTGCTACTGTTTCTGTGTATGAATCAATATTTTCATCGGTTTTACTGGCAACTACTTTTGTGGTTGCTATTATTTTATTCTTACCATTATTACTGATTTAAAATGCTTTCTAAAAATTTCTCATAGGCGGGTATCACAACCACGTTGAATTCTCGTTGTGCCGTTTTGGCAGCAGCAAATTCAGTGTATGGTCGATGGGATGAGCAAAAGGGGAACGACAATATCGACTTTATGCCAACAATTTTGTCGCGTTTCGATATGATCTTTATTGTGAAAGATACACATGATGTGAATAGAGACACGGTTAGTGATTTGATAAAGCGTTTCGTTTTTGTTCTTAATTGCATCACCTGTTCAGTGTCAAATCTAGCATTAGTTAACGGTTGGATAAGATTTTACGATAGTTCATAAATTGTTCATACATGATTCATTGGTTTACTGATGGAAGGCTAATTATGAATGATTGTGTTCTTTGTTTAGGATTTTCAGCAGAGTATGATATGTGAAGTAATGATTAATAATGTTGATTAAATAATGAAAAGTTAATTCTTAAATAGGTTGTGCGAAATAGATGTGATACTATTTCAATATGAATGCAATGAATTAAGAAATTGGCGATGTTGTTAGATGTAGAAATGATCGTACTGGGGAAGTGTGATCGAATTTTGATCAGTTAATTTATGATCATACTTTTGTTTTAGACATTAGCAAAACATGTGATCTCAGTGCATGTGAACGCATCAGCGAATCGTGAACATGAAGAGGAAGTAGCCGAGGGCGAGCTTTCACTTGAGTTCTTGAAGAAGTATGTTCGGTTTTATGATCAAAGTTGTTTCAGTCGCTTCTGAGAACTCGTTTAAACATTAGTAGTTTTGCAAATAATTCAAAGAAGAATCGCGGAAAATCCAGTGTTTGAAAATGTGGAAGATAAGTATCTTTAGAGAAATTTTGCGCAACGAAAAACGAAATTTTTTTAAGGTATCGCGGCTCTTTATTCTATGTACGTGTTACGCATTAAACGTTTGAGGGTGTTGCCACGTTTGAGAATTGAGGAATTACGTTGAAGAAAAGGGGTTCATATTATAGATACATTTCGTATTGTCGTGTCACGTGTGCACCACGTCTATCAGAGAAGGGAGGTGAAAAGCTCATACACAGTTACGTTCGTCTTCGAAACCCACCTGTTGACGTCGAGCAGAAACGTTCGTTTTTTGCATTATGAAACAGTCAAACTTATCTATCATTCAAACAAGTCGTCAATGTGTCGAATAATCATCATTCGTTGAACATCCATTATCGGTCCCTCTGAACCTATCCGTTCCGATTATTCATTGAACATTAAATTCAAATGAACAAAACGTTTGCTTTTCTCTTTCAGCCAAAAAAGCAAGTCATTCAGCTATTTGAATCGCAAACTTTGATTTGGCATTGCTCCGATTTGTTTTTGCACTATTACATGATTGAATAATCAAGCGTAAAATGCAGTGCTTCTTAAATTTAGCCGATACTAAAGCGATTTAATTTCGCCAGTAGTCCTCTGAGGTGAAGACTTAGTAGGAAACTTGATGAATAGTTTAGTGAACGGGTAAATCAATGAAGTAACTGGATAATGAAAATTTGGTAATGTTGATTGCTTAGTGATGTGAACGGTATTGGTTGCGCAGTTCAGGGTAATAGAATTGCAGAAACGCGTTCACGATCAGCCATACCGATAACGATTCGTCAGCTCGAGGCAATCGTGCGTATGAGTGAAGCTTTGGCTAAAATGGAGTTACAACCATTCGCCACTGAGAAACATGTCGACGAGGCACTTCGACTCTTCCGCGTTTCGACAATCGAAGCTGCAGCAACTGGAAATCTTACGGGTATCATACCATTCCGATTGATCTTATACTCCGTTTTGTTGCCATTCTCACATCTCACACGGACTGAATCAGGCAAGATATTGGTCTGGCTTATCTGATTGTTTGCGATTGAATTCGAATTCAGGTATCGAAGGCTTCACGAGTCCTGAAGATCAAGAAGCGTTCAATCGCATTGAAGCGCAACTAAAGAAACGTTTTGCGCTGGGTACTCATGTATCCGAATATTTGATCGTGCAAGATTTCGTGGGACAAAATTATCCAGAGAATTTGGTTAAAAAGGTTCCAATTATGATGTTATCGTGTGGATTTATTAATTATTTTGGGACGGATATGTTGCTTCAACTTTATCTACGTTCAAAATATTGAATTTCATAATTTATTTTTTCACCGAATTGTTCTACAAGTACTTTTACTAGTTTCATTTGAAACTTTCATACTTTTATAATCTTGAAATAATTTCGCGGACGTTTGCATTGAATGGTACCGAATAAAATGAGTGCGGATCTCTTGAAACTTAACTGTTATTGATGGAATGACAGAATCGCATGTTTTTGTTTTCTCCGTCCGAATAAATCAGGTAAAAATAAACTTTAAGGTAATCCAAATGTGTGTTCGTCGTGGTGAGTTGCAATATCGTATGCAGAGGAAGATGCTATATCGTGTCCATTAGATATTCATCAAATCAACCAAATATCTCATTCAGTCTTTTACATTCATAATCATTCACCTTTTTGATTCGCATCTCACCTTTGAATTTTGATATCAAATGTTTCACGCTTCATGTTTTTGTTTCTTTTATGTTATAACGCTTTCAAATTGTTCAATGATCATTTTATATCCTCTTCAAACTTTCGCCACTTTTTCACTTTATGAAACAACAAAAAAGATTTCTTCGCTCGAGCTGTTATGTTTTTGTGTACCGTTTCTCTGTAAAAACATTTGAAAGAATAAATCTGCAGCATGCGGTTGTCATATAGTGTACATACAATGGGAAACAGAAAGTGGATTATGAAAATGGCTATTATCTTTGTTGTAGCTAATCATTCGGTCATAATTACTAGTACATGGGAGCTAGGAGTGTGTCCGAAAACGGTTCTTGTCATGTGGAACTCTGATAAATTCTGGGTGGTCGTGATTAAGCGTTTTGTTTTGTTTATTCCCAGGAGCTTTAGCCATTTTCTTAGACTTATCTCAATCAGATAACGCAGTCGCGCACATTCAAACAAATTGATCACTATAAAGCAATCAATACGTTCATATGGCAATAGGCGGATTGCGATCTTCGAGCTAACCGTCTTCTCAGGATTGCCCGGAAGCATGCGAATTCATTTTCACCGTTCGATCCAGCAAAACCTCTAGATTCTGAATATTTTAAATTTTACTAATCGTAAGTAATTTGGCTTAGTTGAGGAGTTATGGGCATTTTATTAATATGATCTCGGGTGCCACCTTCAAGGCTACCGTAAGCTCATGTTTGCCCAGAACATATGAATTTTTTTGCATCAGTCGATCCAGCTGGATCTCTTCATTCAGAAAAATGTATACTTTGTTGAGCGATTTTGCTTTCCTGAGGAGATATAGCCATTTTCTCAGACCTATCTGAATTAGATAGTGCGCACATTCACACAAATTGATCACTATAGAGCATGAGAATTAACGTGCAGTTCGCGATTTTCTACATCAGATCTATCATTTTAACTTGGAATCAAAAACTGACATGTTTTGCAGTTGCTTGAACCGACTTGTTTAATCCTCCATGCATTCTTTTCAATTCCGATAATATTTCTCGCAAACCTGCTCGCGAAGCTGTCGTTAACTGCAGCCAAATACCTTAGGGAGTGGATTTGCAGACCATTCACTGCATGTCACAAAGTAAAGAGAGGACACAATGGAGCTCTCAAATACATCAACGGAAGGAACTGCAACTGAGTTTTTAATTACTTTCAACTCCGTGCGCCTCAACAAACCATTGTTTAGTCATCTGTGCTCCATTCCCCAATGGACGAGCACCAATTTATCGTCACCACATCAAACAACCGTCGAGGCGTTCTCGAAAAAAGTTATGATATACGGGGTGTGCATCTGTGTTTCTGTGCAGACAAAACTTTTGATTGAACTGTTTAATTCATGAAGTTTTCATCCATCCAAACGATAAAATGGCAGCAACAACATCACTGGGTTGATGGATATTTCGAAATCGACAAAAAATTGAACAATTGAAAAGAAAACATAAGCAACCGTGCTCCATTGTTGAGGCAGTTTTCTGTTTCGAAATTCGATTGAAGAATTAATTTTGGCTTCGTCTCATAGGTACATATTGAAAGAACTCGTTGAAATGAATGCGAGAGTTTAAAATTTATGCACGAGTTCTGGAACAGAAAAGCACCCGGTAGGTTTGAAGTAATACCAAAAGTGATTGTTCATGAGTAAGAAGAATAAAAGCGATGGAAGATGAGATGATTTAAATGAATGTTTGATAGTGCTTTATAACGAGAATGAAGAGACAATGCATCAGTCTCATTGCTGGGAATGGGTTGCTGTAAGATTGAAACCAGCAAATGCAATCGCAAACGCCACAACCATACCGATAGTTAAACCGATAATTAAAACAACCAAAAGGCATGCCGTTACTGGCACGCCTTCCACTGAACAACAGTAGCATCTGAAATTAGAATACCCGTTTGTAATTCTGTTCATCACTTCAGCATCGCCTTAATAATTGATGCTTAAAAACCCGATAGAATGTTGCTTTGGCAAGCGTGGTGCGATTTCAAAGCGCTTCAGATGACCCAACAGTACCGCTCCAGAACTAACTGGCAGACCGCTAACAGACGTGACCACAGACATTGCCTACCGTATCCAAATTATCCTTGTGAGCCCCAATTATACAAAACNGTGTTCATATTAAAAAATCCTTTGATCCACACTTTTCCACAAAGATAATTCCTTCTTACGATTAGCCACAACGTCACCTCACATTGTCTCAAGATGACCACCATCTTAAGCCCAAGCACCAGGCATCAGCCTCAATATAGGCCTAATCATCAACCACAGACCAGGCCTAAGCATCAAACTGTAACTTAACATCATTTTCTTTTGAACGTCGGCCATGAGAAAGAAAACCTCCGCCACGCGGTTTTTCCGAAGCCCTGACCTTTCATACTAAAGCCTAGCGCACTTGGCACGGAGCCGCTTGCAAATAAATGCTTCAAACATTGAATCAATGCACTTTATCAAATTGGCAATGATTCAGCTGACAGTGGTCTCGTCTCGCCTATGCTTAGAACCGCTAGCGTATAGTTGATGGATTAAACTGTATCCACCTACTTAAGCCGAGGTTTACGTTTGGTTATGGGCCGAGGCTTGTTTCTTTTGTGAATTTGTAAAGAAATGGCACGGGGCTTTGAAATTGACACCAAGGTTATCAAACGAGTACTGCAACAAGACACTGACTGATCTTCACGTAAACCAGCTTTGATCATTCTACGTGCTCTCCGCCTCATACGTTCTTTCTTTGTGAGTCTCGTCTTATCACCACCGTAAATTGAAATGTCATACATCGATATGCCTCCAATATCAGCAGCCGTCTGAAACGCTTTCGGTTGAGTCGAGCACAAGTCGAGCACACTCATTTTGACAACGTTTCTTGAAAGTACTGTTCAGAGAAGAAATTCGCAATGAGCACAATTGCTAGTCAGAGCTTATCGAGGAGTTGTTGCAGTAACACTGTAGCAGTTTTCATCAAATTTGTGACAGCATTACATTACTCCCTCCGACAATCTTGTATAAACTTAAAATTAAAACAAACAGCAAAACCAATTGGAGGTAGCGTTTGCATGGGATCCCAACATTCGAAAACCGCGATTTATGCTCTGAAGGATCGCGGGATTTTACGAAGCACTGCATTTCATACAATTTTAGCAATACAATCATCTCGAATTGCACATCAGTCACTCGCAACTCATTGATATTCAGTATTAGGTGTTACCGTCCTAGTGGCAATCAATGGACAGATCATGTTAGAATAGCGCCACTCCGGCTTTCGTTCTTTAGAAAGTGGTGAAGAAAAATTTTGAAATTTCATCACTGGTTTTGTCGCGACGGAGCGCGAAAGAGATGATTCGTGAGGGACACCAAAGTGATATGTGAACTCAACCTTCAAATCTGTATTTNCCCTTTTGTGTTTGTATCTTATGAATGCTTAAAGTTTCGATATATGATACAGTGTTATTAAAAAATAAACGCCGAAATGTTCCGTACTTGGTGGTCAACGTTGCATTTTTTTCCATTTAGGATCGTTTTTCAATCCTGGGCTTATCCTGAGATTGCAAAACGATTGCGCAATTTAATCCCAATACCGATATTGGAAAATGGCCGGGATTTGGAAGTGCTATTTCGAAGTAGGTCTATATTAGTGATCAATCACTCACCTGATCGCCAATTGTCGTATTTCTGAAAATAATCAACAATTTTGTGACATTTCGAAATTAGACTTTGTTTTAAATATATCAGTGGTTAGTTATATGATCTTAAAAGGTATTGCAAGAAAACGGTATAAAAGTACGGACGCAAAAATCTGCATGAATTGGAAGATCCGTTGTCTAAAGTAGTGGAATGTAACGATTTGTGAAAGTGATATTGCAGTTTCTATATTGCAGAAATCATCGAGATGCAATTGTGCTGTCTGTGTATAATGCAAATAAGAGTTTCAAAATGAATCTACGAAATCTCGAAAACTCTCTCAAACATTCAAGTCAACTAGTTCACTGTTCAACATTAACTGTGCACAATTAATTTAACAGACCCTTCTTCGGTTGTCATTTTGAATTGATGCAGCGAATTATCACGTGAAGCTTTCGAACTAAAAAACCGCAAAAATACATCATATATACTAAAAAAACAAAAACTAAAACTAAACTCTTCAAAAAATTACGATGTGAATAGAATTGATACGATCGTTTGTTATAAATTCACAAATTGAAGCTCACAACGAGCAAATTTAAACGGTCCTTTAAGAGAATCATTTTCGGTTGTTGCGTGAGTGTGTGGTCAACAAATGGTTTTATTTTTAATTTGTGAACCATTCCAGCCTCCTCAATAGGTGATATTCGGCGAACAAATCAACGCTTATACTGTCACTCAATAAGAAAAGCATGTAATACATTTCAACAACATAAGAACATAATATGTGTTACTTTAGCTGAAAAAAACTGAAACGACCTCACAGTGCGCCACGAAAGTACGCAAATGCCGTTTGTTTCCGAATGATCGGCTTTGTCGAAATTTAGCTGCAACACAAACTTGACAAACGTATGCAATGATCTTGATTAATTATAAGTTAATTTATTTCGTCCAAAGAATATGCAACTATTTTCGATATGAAAATGCAGAAATAGCAACGCTGCTAATTTTGTCACTGCTTCAACGATGAGATTAATGATAATCGGAATGCGCGTCGAGGATCTGCACAAATCATCGAGGTGCAGTTCATCCTCATTCGCTCAACAGTCTCATCGTCAGGCTTCTAAGACAGGCTTACATCTTAAGAATGAGGCTAACGACTTAGCACACTGAGGTCCCCTCTTCTTCAGCTGTCCCTCAGCCCATTCCCCGCCCTTATAAAACACTTTTCTTTATATCAGCATTGCTACCACCTAGCAGTGTTGGGTGCTATTAATGCTGACTGCGAATGTTTCTCTCCGCGGTTATTCGTTTGGATATAACTCTCCTCGCTGTTCAGATATGTGGTTTGACTAGTACGCAAAATGTTTCATCAGATTTGTGGCATGAAATCCGAACTTGTTTTGGGGTTGAACTTGGGGTTATGTTTTAGGTTACCAAAACAATCGGCAAGTTCGATGTTACAGAATTTCAGTCAGCCTTGAATCTGCCAAATTAGGGCATGCGGCCCGGTTTTCGCACCGAACTCCGTGATTTGAGGTTCAAAGCCTGACGTCATAACCTGCTTTCGAGCCGGCCACACTCTTCAAACCTAGCTAAATTTGCATATTTTCTTCTTCTTTTTATCTTCTTTATAGTTGAAACAAAGCATTTTTCGCTTCTGGTAAGAGATTTTATTCTCTGAATCAAAATAAGCTAGGCAGTAGTTGTGTATTATACGGTTATTAAATGTTCTGATATATTACGTCATTCGATGTTCACTCACGAAACATAAGACTGCTATTGCACGTTCGGCATGATCATTTTCACCGATAAAATCTGCATTTGTTTCATATAATGCCAACGCAGTTGTTTGATTAATATGCAAAATCTTATATTATAAGCAAACTTATTTTATAAGATTTGTTTTTGGACGTCTGACTTGCGATTCATTCTCATTGCTTGTTTGAGTTTGCACGTTTATTGGTTGAAATCATGGCGGTGTTCTTCATGAGTTCTCAGGTGGGTTTAATTGTGCCCATATTTAAATTGTTCTCAATTCATTCACTAGGGGAGTGTGTGAGGTTGCTACTTACGACTGCGATGGCACTGATACTATTCGAAAGAGCGAAAAAGGCTCAGGATAAATCCACTTTGAAAGCTGCGGAATCCTCCTGTGAAATCAGTTGGAAGCTTGGAAGAGGTTAGAATTCAGATTCAAAATGAGAAGTTGTATCAGTGGCGTACGCAAGATTTTTTCGCAAGAGGACGTGGTGGTTTTGATTTTTCAACTGTTCTACATGCGAGGGGATAGTTTTGTATTTCTAACTGCTTTACAGGAAGGAAGATGTTTTGATGAGATATTCCCACATCAGCAAAGACGACACTGCAGATGTAATTTTAAAAATCTATAGCAAATTTGTCAGCGAAAGTCTCAAAGAGCGCATCTTTCGAATATTCGGTATGAGTTGTGAGATTAAAGGTGCGCATTTTGGAAATAAGATGATGCTTTACTCATTGCAGTCATTCTTTTGATACTGAGAGCACTGACCTCCGACTTCCAATCACTGCTCGAAGGACATAAAGAAAATTTTTTCCATTTTCTGTCCGCAGATGACGTCACCAAGGAAGACTTACAAGACTTGTTAGTCGGTCAATTGTTTCTAGATTTACGTACCTCAAAAGGATAAACTTTAAAAGCCAAAATGAAACGAATCAATATATGAGACGAACTGAAAAGGAAAACTGAATAGAAAATTACCATTGTGCGTTTCTTTACCAAAACTGTAAAACATTACAGAGTGAGTGCAGATTATCTGATGAGCAGTGCATTCGTCTTCCTGTAAGAGCATCGAATCGTAGTGGTGAAAAGTTATTTTTAAGCAGTCTCCGGAGAACAATTTGCTGAAATTGGGCTTGCACTTCACAGTTGTGAAATTCGCACTCCCACCGATCAATAACTACCTGTGAGAATTAGAGTTCCACAGCACTTCTTAACTTCAACAGTATTCACTGGTGCCCAATCGCCCTTCTGCTTTCTATAGCCTTCTTTATTGGTCCAGTTTAAAAGTTCCCCAAGAATACTTTGTCGGAACAATACTAAAAAGCCGTAAAATTGTATCAACATTTCGAACTGCAAAACGTGTTGGGCCGTTCTTTTCTTGATCACACGATCACCTTATTGATCATATGATGAATTTGTGTTAAACTATATTTTCAACTGTCTCATAGTCAAAATATTCTTCAAGACCGAGTAGAATTTCGTGCAATTTGTTGTGATCGTTTTCCGAAACTCAGTCATCATCCTCATCGGTATTACCACCATTGCTATTTTCGAGTTAGCATTCACTAGCTGCATCAATTGACGATACAGTAACCGATATAAGAACGCAAAGCACGCAGCAAGAACCAAAAACTCATGCAGATCTTATAACTACTTGAGTGCGGAGCTGATTCCTAACTGGTCCGTCGTTTTGGCTCTTCGTGATGTACGATCACCTGACGACAGAGTACGTGAACGCCGACCCATTGTAATTTGTTTCACTGACCATTCCGCAACTTTTGAAAACGATTTCTCGCTCAATTTTGCATCCTGTTCTGACTGGTTTTGGTTTCATCGCAGTCGCGAGTGGTGACTATGAGATTTATTTGCTTTTCTGGACCTTTAACCCTGAGCCTAAAGTTTACGCGCCAACGCCAGACTGTTTCTGTTTTGATCCGTACTAGGTCTATTCCTCGCTGGTTATAAGTTGAACGTATATCATGACTTACTGATATAAATATCATGGGATATTTTTGACATGTGATATGGTTTTTTGCTTCGCACCAATGGAAACATGACATCGAGCCTTACTGTTGATCAAGCCTTAAAAAACTTCCCAAATTATGTCCACCGAAATTGGTGATTGGATGAGCTTTTACTGCAAGTAAGTGATACTGTTCTAGCGAATACTAACAATAAGGTGCATTTCAGTTAGTGTTACTGATGCAGATGTCGATAGCGTTTGCATACACATGCGCTTCAAATCAATTCATTGATATGGATGAGGAAGATTGTGGACCAACGGGATATTGCTATCTGGTGCATAGAGGAGGCAAAGTTGAGGAGCGTGGTTGTGATCATGCTTTCATTTGTGAGGTAATTACGTTTCCGAAGCAAATTTCTTAGTTGTGTCGTTCCATTGGCGAAATTATTTCGTTTTCATATGGTTTTTCAGATGCTGATTGAGCAAGGATCTCTAGAAAAAGATGGATGTTCTGCTGACGATGACATACCTTACGGATCAAAACAGCATGGCAAAGTATGCTGTTGCACTGGCATTGATTACTGCAACCGTTCTCTTAGCGAAATTGGAACTGCGCAGAAACATCGACGGAAGAGAGCAACGGATTTGTGAGGGAATGGTTCACGAGAGTTTGATCGGAAATGATAGAATGACCAAGTTATTTGAGAGTTATACTCCTCTCTGTGTTCATTACAGTCAAAAATACAACTTTGCAATAATTATTGCGAGCTTCGTTATATGAGCTGCATCGTAATATTATTACAACCTTGATTAACGACGAAATCATTAGTGTGTTTTCGTCTGTGACCCAGGTTTATTCGCTCATATGATTGTTTTCGTGATGACAGTAATTGTTGATTTTGATTGCTATTTTCATTATTGTAATTATTATTCGTTTAGTCAGCATGTTCGGTTTTCGATTTCATCTTTCCGATCTGTCTCTATTATCTTTCATTAGTCCTTAATAAAGTCTAATTTTTCGGTGCTAAAATTCATTCAGCAGTTTCACGTTGCTCGATACAATTCGTGCGTTCAATTCACGTTCACCTGCTGACAAGGACAGTTTGGCCTGCGAATGATTGCCGGAGTGCGCTCAAAAATATCTTGTTCAGTTAAAAATTCCACAAATTTTTTGGTTCATTCATTTCGCCACTACAACCGAATAATCGTTTCTGCGTGCAGCTAAAAACTTGTTGAAAAGAAAAGGTAAACTGGTTGCTAAATTCGTTCAACCCAAAGTAATTAGTGAGTTGTGGCAGCTTGCAGCTCAGCTCTGAACGTGGATTTTATTCGTTTTAAGCTCATTCAAGTAATCATATCTGTTACGATGGAATTGGCACGGAACAGAAAAACAGATAATTGAAGAAGCCATTCATGTTAGCGAAATGAGAATTGAAAATGTATTTAATGGTCGTTAATAAGTATTTAAGAACTTGAAAGTTAACGTTTAAATTGCTTATGATATTCATTATATAACTAGAAAACAAATTTCGATTATAGCATCGCATTCTGAAGATGCAGTCCCATATCTTGTTATGAGGTGTTTTTTCGACTGCTATCATTTCTTCAGTTGTGGATAATATTGTATTATCTTTCGACCATGCTTGTCCACATGAAAACGCTAAAAAAATGTATATTATAATTAACGCAATGTGCATACTGCGGTTGCCACCTAACTTTGCCTACTATCACATGGATATTTCTTGGAACATGGCCGAACGGTTTTCCATGAGCACAATATAATATGCTCAAGTATAGACGCAACCTTTATCATATGGCAAGAACGTCTCACAATCAGGATGCAAATTTTGCTTGTATATGCGTAATATCGCAGCATTAAGTCTCATTCTGGAGTAGAATGAAGAGTGATATTTTTCCTGATCAATTTCTAACTGTAAATGAGAAGATAGATGATTTTTGAGTAACGTTATTGGAATCTGGTCAAGTCCTAAGGTGTTGTTTTCGTGGAAGATAGAAGTTGAGAAGCAACGTCCAGGTGCTTAGTTGCAGATCAGCGATGCTTAGTTGCAATCTGACGGTTTCCATTTTCGCAGTTTCAAACCTCCATAATTAGTGATAAAAGTGAAACTTTTCAAAAGCGAAATTAAATAAGAATTTCGGTCCGAATGCACATCACTACCATACACCCTCAAGCAGTTCTAAAGTCGCCGTGTTATCTGGGAGAAACTGAGCAATTGAACCGCTGAAAGGCGTGCCTCCTGAAAAGTGCCGACACTCGATCTGGAAGAGGGTGATGTACTGCTGAGTGGATGAGACTTCTCATCTTAATTCAACAAAAAAGGATGCAAAAAAGCCTGAGCTGAACAGTCAGTCTCAGCCTGTGCCCTATCCAAGCCAATCAAATTTTTAAATTCAGTTGTCGACTCTATTCGAGCAACCTTTCATGAATGCGCTATATCCTAAACAAACTTATCGCCAACCTTCACGTAAACATATTTTGACAGACTCGAATGATTTTGAATGACATTGCTAGTCGAACATGGACGTGCAACAATAGCAGTTGCATTCCGCGCGGAACGTTCTGACGCTGTAGATGATGGTTCTTCCGTTAATGTCTTAAAATGACCGTGACATTGACCGCTTGAAATGAGTCGATCAAAATGCAACGAAATTAGTCAATAAACGATTGTGACTTAATTTATCAACAAGTGCGTCATGGCATCAGTCAGTCGAAAGTGACCACATCTTTTACCGCTATCTTATTTCGGGTTCCACCTGCCCTGCACTTTGCTATTGAAACCATGGTGTTACAGCTATTTTCCTCTTTTGAATTTCTTTTGTGTGCCTTTTCAACCAAAGAAATAGAGGAACATTCACTCATTGCTTAGGAATCAATGAATTACTTTATGTAAACGTTACTTTATTTCTCTTTGCGGCATCTTTTTTACGATGGCGGTGTTTGAAAAACGGTACGTGTATTCGTCGATGTTTTGATGGCTGAAATTTCTTGTTTTGTTCTGCTGAGCTTTTTTTGTGTAAATTCTTCAACATTCTTTTATTAAGAATTTGAGTTTTCTGGCAAAAAAAGTTCGCTAAGCAGCCTGATGCGTAGACATCGGCATTGAATCAATTAAGCAATAAGCTTGTTTCTGTTCAAGTTCCATTTAAGTTCTGATCTTAAGTCCCATGTGAAAATGATACCATGTATGATAAGTCAGCAGCATTGAAAGGATGTCATCATCTTGCATTTAAATTCATTGAGAAGAACACGTACAATTGCGATGCCTCAACAATATCTCAAAACGCCTTCGAACATTTATCTTCACTGATACTCATTCTTCGCCTTTTTTTCAATTTTTGCAGTCATTCAATAATAAAACTGAACGCTGCATGTCTAATGATAATAGCAATAACAACCTTATTCTGCACTGACTGTGTAAGCCTCCGTTCGTTTTCGTTAAGATTCTCATCACACTTATGTTTCTTGCTTATCACCATTTTTACCGGTGAAACGAATGTCTAAATACAAAAAATGATTTCCAACTGTTCACACTCAAGTTTTAAAATGGGCAAAGGCTGATAACACTATCAAAGGAACCTCGAACTTATGAACTGAATCAGAATGAAAACAAAATGACGGCTGAAGCAATATTGTGGGTATCATGTCATCACTGAATGCAATTAAAGTAACTGCTCACCTTACTCAAAATCTTTCCTGTTGCTTTTGCAGCTGACATTGATGCATTAAATACGGAATAAGTGGAGCGCTCGAATATATTGGCAGTCTGAAATGTGAAGGTTCGTTCTTTCAGAATGTTATGTAAACAAGAGTATTGGGCTCAACGGAACACGAAGTTGATCAGTACATGAAAGTTACTTAAAAATCTCAGGTAGTCACATGCTTGAACTGGACCACTCATTTTAAAGTACCAAAAATAAGTGGAGAAATTGTTCATTCCTATCAGAAACATTTGATGAGAAACAGGCTTAAATTAGACCATTTTGGATAAACCGAAAACAATGCAAAAAGTGAGCAGGAAAATGGATGAGCTTTACGGTTGGCGAAATACCGCAATCGTTACACTTTTCAACGTTCATAAGAGAAAAAACGTGATGAAGTTAACGGTGTACCTCGCGATTGTTGATTTCCGCAGTTTCGGTATCTGAATCTCTAACACTTCTAACACTTCTCGTTGATTGCGTAATTTCGACTGTGCTAGATGACGAAGATGGTGACGCAACCGGCATGGCTGTTGATGTGGATGGACTTGATGTTCCAAAATAGTCCGGATCGACTGATACTTCATCAGGTGCTACCGTTGGGGTAAAATTCTTAAACATTTCTAGATGCTGCATCATGCAATTCGTAATCAAGAAAAAGCATCATGTGTTCATATTTTAGTGTATATCATCAAAAAATTTTTAAATGATATCAGCAGATAAATACTCAGCTATGCCATCTACCCAGTGCCCATTTGAACAAAATTCGCCATGGACGCTGCAAAAACCTACCATAATGTAAACACTCATCGCTCGTGGGCTTTCCGCTTTGGGTACCTGAAAAAAGCGAGAGACGTGATAAGGGAATGTAATTCATATTAATTAAGAAGCGCTCCTCGAGCTAACTCTGCGATCATCAGTCCTACTTCATTCAAGTCTGAGGAAAGTTGGCTTAGAATGATCGCTTTTCACAGAATAACTGGAAGAAGAAAGATTAATTGAGATGCATCAAATGGTATATTCTATCTGCACTGCGCTTCTCACCTTGTTTGCAACTGGACCAATATTCAAAGTGCTGAAATACAACATAGGTTAGACGTGTTAAGAGATTTTAATTAAATGAATATAACGGTTCGATATGGCTCCATCCAGTCACTGATCTCAATTTGAATTTAGTTGCAATCGAGCAGCAATATATCGCTACTTATTTGGAAGGAGAAGAACGTTTACAAAGCTCTATGCTATTCATCAAAACCGATGAAACCTATAGACCGCTAAACAAGAAAATTGTGAAAACCATCACTAGGCAAGTCTCAGAAGTTGAAGCATAAAAAAGACGCCATCAATATTCGTCCAAATAAATCCATTTGAATGACCGCTATGAGGCTCTCGCTTTCAGCAATTGCATAGTCATGAGATTGAATACGTTTTGTAGATCAGTCACTCCGTGCCGTATAGGTCCCAAGGTATCTGAGTCATACAGATGGCGACAAGGTAATTTTTTGATCAACTTTTGTGCACCTTGGTGGGCCGGCACTGTTCAGTCCTCTGGTCTAATTTAGTTCATGTTTCGAATAAACTCTTCTATGCCTGATCGAAAGAACAGCTTAGAAACTTGGGGAAAATTAATAGAACAGAACAATTTATAACTTAAAGCACAGCAGAATGGATATTTGTCGGACGGAGCAGGAAAGAACTGCTTGAAAGATGAGATTGTACGAAATGGAATAGTTGAATGGACAGAACAGAACACAACAGTTCACAATAAGTTTCGAACAAATATCATTAACTTCGGCACTTTTCGGCATGATGCTGCAAAAATATTTTCACCTCTGTTTAATGTGATTTGACGATTTCGTTGGCAAAGGAGATGCAACATCTTCGGCGCTTTTTCTATTTGTACTTGACTGAAATTCTCGAATAAAACTCTTTTGCGTAATAATCAATAAACTGAGTGCTCGCAAAACCTCATCTGACAAGCATTTGTAATAGAAGAAAGTAAAATGGTGGCTCTACAGCTCGACTGAAGAATAAAAGCCAGAAGGAATTGTTTTCACTGACCAACTGCAGTAAATTTTCGAAGTTAAGAATTGGTGAAATTATGGCATCAACTTCTTCAAATATTGTTTGTATGAATTCTTCACTGCTTTCATCAGCTCTGAAGCGTATCTTTGTTTCTGTTCAAGACTTGTTGATGACAGCTGGCAATAATCAGAGCGGGATGTCGCGGTGCATTGCGTTTGCCTTTCGGCTTAGGCTGAGGCTCATATCTGCCTGAGTTCCCCATTAAACGAACAAACGAATTTTCGGTGTGAGTCTCAGCCTAAGTCTGAGCCAAACTGTAGGGAACCGCAATGTCATGACATGTCGATGGCTTACCTTATTGAAACTTGTGAACCACGTGATGCCAAATATATTCCCCGTCCTTAACTCTATATGTGTCCTCAAATGTTCTCCCTTCATCGGTCACTGCAAATTCCTCCCTCCCCGAATTGAGACTCCATTCTCGAATACCTACCCAACACTCACCGGCCGCCAATTTGTTTCCTTTCTCGAAAATTAGGTTAGTTTTGAGGTACTGAGATTATGACACGTTTAAAAGCGTTGGAAATTTCACCCCACTAAGAGTAATGTTTCAAAGTGAAGAAAACGCGAAACTCAATTTCACGCCTTCTCTTGAATTTTCTCCCTTCATAAACCCCCAAGTTACACATTGCCTGGGATATATATTCGGGGTTATACGATATGAACTTTATTTGCTTTTTATTCATTAGATGTGAGGAAGTAAGCCTCAAACTACTTCGCGGCTATTATCAGGAGTGATCTATTCCATTAATGCTAAGTGCACCAGTCTCGTAAGAGAAATGCACCGAGCAAACTAGCGTCATGTGTTCCAGCTGAACCAGCGAAATCTAAGATCTACCGAACATAAATGACAGAAAAAGTTCGATTCCTGAAATGCATTTGTTGTGTGTTCGTTATCAGTTCGAACTGCAATAAGTAAGGCATTGACAAATATTAACTAACGATTCATCTCGTCGTGCCCTTCTCAGTGCCTCCCGTTCTTCTTCCTCTTTCTTTCGAAGGGTTTCTGGAGCATATGTCTGAAAAGACTCTTCGATTTTTCACCATCGTTTCTCGATTTACAATCGATTGAATCTCATTTCTCCTAAACAGTTCGTCTTTGCTCATGTAACAATAGCATTTGCCGGAAGCCTTTATGTAAAAGTAATGAATAATAAGTATTTATATATGAAGATATTGTCCTGAAGCTCAGATGTATTTGATGAACTGCTATCATTTAATAGACTAGCAATGCACTGGACAACGTGAATAAAGTGAAACACAGTTTCGATTATACTTATTCTGACTATTATTAGTGGTATACGATTCAAGATTCGGAGAGAATTGTAGCAATGTTCACGAATGCATCAACCGTGATAAGAGCTGTGAGGTGCTGAGTAACATAACATTGAGTGGTTTCACGAACAGATCACAAATGAATACAGTCAAATTTGAAATTAGATAAACCTTAGTATCCACTTCAATACACTTATCCACATTTGTAAGAATCGAACATGAGCTCATTTCACTTTTCGGTGATCGATCGCTAATTGACATCTCTGTTGCCTTTTCTGATTGTAAATTGCACTCTTAAACATTTGACTCGTTGGTGAACATCCATTGCTCAATGACGATGCTCAAATAACGTCGGGTGCCGGGAAAATCGTATCACGGCTTTATCATGCAGGAAAATTTGCAGTAAACCAATGGTTACGATTATATCTTCCAAGAAATTTCTCCTTTAGTGACCACTCGCAAGGTGCTTCCACCGACCAATTAAGCAATCATTTTAGAATGGAGTCGGAGTTGGAGAAGAGTAATATCTACCATACTTGGGTAATACGAAAGAGGCTTATAAATAAGTCGGAAGCATTGAAAGTGAATTCAAGCACAGTAAATAAATCTTTCAAAACTGATTTGATATAACAGGTTCCCTGAATGAACTGAAATAATTTTCATCTGGTTTAGATTTTGGTTTCCTCAAATAACCCATCGCGATTCATTTCGCAATTTTTTTGGAATGATAAAAAAGTTGTGTTATCATCTTTGAATGAAATTCAACGGAAATATGAAATTTTTAGCAAAATACACGTTTTCCGAAGACAGTAACCAAGAGTATCAAATGAGCACCGGGTTTTGAATATATTAGCAGCAAACCTTGCTTTTTCTTTGCATTTTGCTCTTTTTTGTTCATTGAGATGTGTAATAATGTTGTTAAGTTTAATCCTGAATTCGAAGATTTTAAATGAAATTTAAACTTTTCGAACCTCTTGATCATCGAATGAGCATATTCTCGGCACCATTACGTATTCTCTTTCAATTCCAGTGATGAAGTGATATAATCGGATGAAGAAAAAAGAACCTTAAAACGTCTAAATTCAATACGGAGACGCTTCACTGGAGGACCGACTCCTCCAAAACGATTAAAAAAACTGTAATGGAGTTGGTCAAGTTTAACTCACTTAAAAACAAACATTTTGCTCGATTTTTTATATATGCAATCATTTGAACTTGAATTATTTGTATGCAGCAGAAAAATACGCAATTGTAAAACGATATTTTGCAGCTTTTGTTAGATTATGCAAAAACAATGATTTCTGCGTTGAGCTGTCACCAGAACGCTTGAACACTGGAATATGTTCAAAATGACTTTATTACGGAGGCACTTTGCCTCCCGTTGTCTTCTGTTCTGTTCTGTTCTTTCTCTAAGCAATTATGCAACACGGTTTATTTTTTGATTTCGCTACTGGTCAAGATAAAAAGATATTTGAAACGATTCTCTGCACTGGCCGCATTCAGCAGATGGTTTTTAGTGGCCTTGATTCGTCCTCGAAAAGTATCAAATTGTACAAAAATATAAACCACAGATGCATTTGCAATTGACCAAAAAGCGGTTCAAGCAACTGAACTTCACTATGCGTCAGCATACGAATAAAAACTTCCTTTTGTCTTCGTGAGCAACTTGTCCATCGATTACAGGAATCTAATAATAAAAGAATCTCAAATTGCGAACGAGACATTTTTCAGTTGGAAATTCAAAAGCAGGGCTGAACTGATTTGAAAATTTCGAGTAATTTACTTATGGCGCAATGAAGATGATTTTTAAATTCCTCTGGAAGTGTCGTAATTCTTAAGCTTATCGAATTCAAAACATTAAGAACTGCAAATATAATACTTTTATCCTCATTACAACTGCCATGGCCGAATGTACCTTGCCATCATCAGGCATTGCTTTCGAATAATAAATCGTATGGAAACTCAACTTACCAACTTTGATACTGCATCGACCAAAGGACCCTCCCTCAATGTTCAGGTAATAAGGAAAATTTCAGTTTCATTATCAGCAGGTGTATAAAAGCAGAGTTGCCGATGTTTGAACCATGATTCTTTCTGTTCATTTTTGCTGCGGCTTCTTGGACGATTTGGGATTGTTCGCACAGACGAATGATAATAGATGAAGGGCTCTTCGAGAGGTATTCATGAGACGTGATATATCGGAGCAGCATGTTTTCGGTCGAAATGGTCTGTGCTGGTTCCGATTATCTTGTATTTCGAGGTGACACGCGGCGTTTTATGAATAAATGGAATGTGGAAAGTTAGAAGGAAGGATTGTTGATTCTTGAGTCGTGGGATAGTGATTAATATTTCACCATACGTTATGAAAAGTATGGATTGTTTCCATTTGGGTAACTGTCACCATCGGCTTTTATTATTGTTTGAGGTAATCCAGGGCAGAAACGAATGTCAAGAAGACCATAATATGACTTGTTGACATTAATTTCTGTTTCAGGGGAAACAGATTTTCGAGCTATGACGTAGAATTTGCGTGACAACAATATTTGCTGAATTGTTAACTGATTTCAACGCCGTCGTTGCACGGCGTCATTTATAAATTTCTTTAGATAAACGTTCAATAAGAGAGCACATTTACGGAACCTTATAAACTTCCTCTACTTGTGTTGTTTACAAGTGTTCAATATACTCGTGGCACTATTGGCATTTCTCAATATCGTCGTTTCTGCACCTACTTCGGATTGTTCATTACCACCAGTTATTGATGGCATCGTATTCACATGTTATATTTTTAAGGTATACGTTGCGACGGCTTTTGTGCCACTGGGAGGAGGTACATCTCAAGTATCGATCGACTGTAAGAGAAGCGTGGAAAAAAGTAGCGATGATAAGATGTGTTAATAAGAGAGTGGTTCAAATCAGAGCTGATTAAATACAGCGGTGATTAGATTGCATAGCACAACATCATTGTGATATCAGTATTGCTATGGTGCAGCTGTGTGTTACTTTGTTATTTGATGCAATGTGTTACTTTTTATATTGATGTGATTTTTTGATTTTATCAGTTTCTGTATGAATTTAATTTCAATAAAATTCTGTTGAAGTGTCTACTTTACATGTATGACTGCAATTTATTAATGATGATTATGTTGAGGAAGGTTCTATTAGTATCCTGGCTTATGTGGCACGCAATGAAGAACATTTGAATATGAAATAACAACATGGCTACAGAAATGTTTTATGCATAGGTAAGAATAGGAGAGATAATATCGATACAAATGTAATCAACCGTTAGACATTTGAGCGATCAGAAAGGTCCTATGATAAAGATAAAGCACTTTTCTCGGAATGGATCTTGTCACGGTTAGCGCGGAAAGCCGGCATAAATATATAAAACAAGTGAAAAAAGCGACTTCTTAAATGGTTTAAAAGGGGAGTGCAATGGGCAGTTGGTGTACACTAGGCCTCGATGATCCGGTCAGCTCAGAGGGAGTGCGTTCGAATTCGAGTCGATCCAAAATCTTCATTGAATTTTGTTTCCATTGTGAGCGAATTCCAAAAAAATGCACAGAAAATAAAAACGCTGAGTGGGAGAATGTCGTTCAAGGAGAGGGTCAACAGCTTCTGGCGGTGATGATTGCGGGAAGGCGGAGGGTTTCGGATCCTGATAACCAATTTCTTTGAGGAACAGAAGCACTGTAACCTTCAGATGCAAGCTCGTTACAACGAGTAGAGATCGGCCTTTCCATTCTGGATCTGAAGCATTTCATCTGCAAACAACTTGGTGCATGTTCGCCACTGTTGGTGAGTCCGGCTGATCTCGAACTTGTGCTCGAACGATGTTCGTCGCAACAGTTCGGTCCTAAATCGACGCTCAGTAATAATAGTAATAACAATAGTAGTGATTACAATAGTTATAACAGCAACAATAATTGTAGTAATAATAATAACAATAATAGTAATAACAGTACTAGCAGAAATAGCAATAATACGAATTATAATTATAATGCTTACAATAACGATAATATTTCATGGTAAATCTTGACAGTGGTTAAAAGAATGTAACTCGCTCACTCCCAAGAAAAAATGCTTGTGTTTGTGCATCAATCATTTATAACTGACATCGACCAATTTGAAGAGCACAATTCAAAACGCACATGTTAGAAAATGCTGAGAATTACACCGAGGTTGAATGATCGCAAAGCGTAATGATGTATCGATGTATTGGCAGATTATAATATTTTATAAGCGAACGATCATCAGTTATTATTCGTTGAAGTTAACAGTTGAAATACTCAAATCAACCTCCCTCCAAAATAACCGTCACCTACGTTCCTTCATCTTCTTCCTTGCTCCTCGGATCGAGATGAACGAATATAGTGACGGCTATTTTGCAAGCCGTTTTATTAGAACGGCAGTCTCAAGATGCGCTTTTTTTTNTTTTTTTTCAGAAAGAGAATTTCGCAAAGCCTTGACTGAATTAGAATCAAAGCGAACTGTGAACAAATTTTGCATCCATCCCAATTCACTGCAGCAGTCAATTTTAGGTATTTTTTGATGAATTTAACGCTATACTCAATCAACCAGTGAGCATCGACGCAGACTAGTAGAGATCGGCATTGTCGATCATTGGCCTTGCAGAACTTGATAAATCTTTTGTGAATTTGCTTCCGAACCAGGGTCTCTCAAGTGGGGGTGCACGCACCCCCTGGGTGTGCACGACTGCCTGCCAGGGAACGCAATAAAAGGGGTGAGTGAGGGATGCGGGAAGGGGTGCGAGGGCATCTTAAAATTTTCTAGAAGGTGCACGGGGCAAAAAAGGTTGGAACCCTTGGTCTAAACAAATCAAAAAATGGTCGTCACTTGCATTATTTCAGTGCAAAGATTCTGTCAACAAGGCGATCTGATAAAGTTAACTGCAACTCGCTTCGAATTTAAGTGTGAGTATTATCCGAACGACGAACACGTTCTTGAATTGAGCAAAAGCTCGAATGGATCCGTATGGAGGTGACGAACATTTTCAGTGTCATTTTTTTCTAGTAAGCGACATTTTTGTTTCTAGTAATCTGTTTCTAAGTAATTTCTAGTAAACGTTTTATTAAATATTACTAGCGTTTTATTACACTTAAACTCTTATCATGTGCGGTGCTGGTGGTGGGAAAGAAACAGAAGACATGAGGATCTCTTATGAAACGAACTTTTTGAAGAGCACTGAAATAGCTGTTTTACGAAGCACTTTCAGAAAATGAGTTTAACTCTGGAAA